TCAGGGTCCATTGCTCTTCTCTTCTAGCGAACTAGCTTGACGGCACTGTCAATGTTTAGAGCACGACATATTGTGTTCGGGCTAATCCCGACCATATCGGCGTGAGTCCATGCAAAAACATTGACATTTTCTCTAAAGAAGCTCATCAGGCTTTCGACATACTCTGGTCGACTCGCTTTCACCGACTAATACCTCATATAGCTTCTCAACTAGCCTGTTATGAGGGCACTCTTGGATGCGAGGATCCATGTTATCCTCTACTAGTCTAGGTCGTGGCTCAATCCTGTTGATTGCCATGGCATGTTCAGGGACGCCTATTGGTTTTCCCTTTCCCTTGCATGCCATCTGGACGGCCCTTATGTAGTAGTCGCGAGATTTACGTTGGGATTTTTGCACTTCCCTGATCCCCGTCAGGGTGGAGAACTTTATCTTCAGATGGTAGATGAAGGTGACAACCTTGAAATTCCGTAGTAGAGGTCATCTCAGGATGCATTGAAGGCGGATGGACAGTCTACCACCAAGAACTCCATCACCTTTGTCACGTCGTTGGTTTCACCCAACGTGACGGGGAGTGCAATCGTTCCCTTGGGAATCAATTGATCCCCGGTAAAACTGTAAAGGGGAAAAGAGGTAGGCTTCAGGTCTACCTCGTCCAGTTGCATTCTTTCGAAGGCGTGCTGAAACAGGATATTCACGACGCTTCCATTGGCGACCAACATTCTGTGGACTTTGCACTGGCATATTTCAGGCAAGATGACGAGTGTATCGTCGTAGGGGTGACGCAATCATATTGCATCTTTTTCGAAGAAGGTAATTTCTTCTTCCATGCAGATCTTAGCAGGTCGTAGAGTCGTGCTCATTACACTCAAGGGGTCATGGTGAGCTTCTCGGGCATATATTTCCTGGACACCTCGAGAGTTCCCTTTGAGGCGTGGCCCCTCGAAAATGATCCCTACACAGTAGAGCCCCTTGTGACCACAGTGCCTCTTCCCTTGTTCCTCTTGCTCTTTTTCCCGAGCAGGAGTCGGACCGTCAATATACTCCTTGAAGTGCCCATGTTTGATGAGGTCTTCAATTGCTTGCTTGAGAGCCCGACACTCATCAGTGTGATGCCCATTATCCCAATGATAGAGGCAGTACTTTTTGCTGTTCCTGGCTGAGGGGAGATTCTTCATAGGCTTCTGCTCTCCGAGCAGATTGGCCTCCTCTGATTTATCTAGAATTGCTAACACTGAGGCGTTCAAAGGAGTGTACTGAGTCTTGTCGCAATCGCGACGAGGAATTGAGGCATAAGACTTTTTAGGCTCGAATCGCTACTTCTTCCCTTTTCGCTGATCATTATTAGCCCAACCGCGATCGACCTTTCTACTGTTATCCCCCCGATCGAGAACACTGGCTGAAGGACCAAGGTTGTGTCGATTAAGAGCAACCAAAGAATTTTCTATTCGGAGGTACTTCTTAGGGAGGTCGTAGAAACGAGTGAGGGAAACATCATCCTCTGATTATAGCTCTTTCCATAACTCAGTCTGCGGGCAAACCCCTGCGATAATGAGAGTCTGAAAGAACTCTTCAGAAGTGTGAGCTACTTTGTGGAGTTCATGGTGAAACCTGTCTATATAAGATTGGAGGGACTCATCCCTCTCCTACCGTATATTGCTCAAATAGCACAACGGCATTGAGAACTTCCTGTTTGCCTGGAAGTGCATTAAGAATAATGAGCTCATTTGTTGCCATGAGCTTATTGATCCCATGGGGAGCGGCCTGAATAAGCGCTTAGCATGGGTGGTTAATGGCATTGCTAAGCAACAACATTTGGCCAAGTTAGAGACTTGGTGGAGTTTCATAAAGTCATTGAACTCGTAGAGGTGGTCCTGCGGATAAGAATTTCCGTCGAATGCCCGTATGTCAGGCATCCTAAATCTCGATGGAAGAGGAGCAGCTAGTACTGCTAGAGAGAAGGGGGATGCCTCAACGACCTTACCCTGTTTGTTCTGCTAAGCCTTGAGCTGATCCGATTGCCGCTGCAACTCCTCAATTTGAGATAGCAGAGCTATCGAGGGGTTACTTTCTGCAACGTGGGTTCAACCCTCGCGGTCATGATTGAGGAAGGACCAACGGTCTAGGCCCTTTCGCTGCTAGGTTGGAAGCTTCGACGCACCATGACACACGCTGGCCAGAGTCGTGTGAGGGTAGCGAATGGCTTAGGGAATTTTCCCGACCCCCGCAGTGGTCAAAATTGACCCGCAGGCTGTGAGGGTTACCCCGGCAGCGATGGTTGGGACCATTATTTTGATGAGGCTGGAAATCTCCCTAGCCTACACTTTTACGAGCGTGCCCATACGACGTGACATGGGACGGCTCATGCTACGACATGTCACTAAGTCGCAACGCCACGGGTATTCTACTCGATGCGTGACCGATGTTCGCTAGCCCCTCAGAGCCTTCTGGTCCACTGCTCGCCACTTGTTTTTCCTTACTTTTACGTGCTACAGTGAGCGCGGTTCGGGCCTTTACCCTTTTTCGCACTTTCGCACAACCTGCAAGCGTCTTTGGTGGTGGCACCGCCTTGTTAGACTCCGATGGCACGACCTGGTCCAAACGGTCCAGCCTCCGTCTAACCGTTTGGAAAGTATTGTTGAACCTCTCCAAGTAATTCATCACGGTTGGATCGAGTTGTGAACTCGAAGGAATATCAGCCATGATACTCTGCTGGATCGGCGGCACTTCAAGAGAAATGTCATTCTGTACCTGGGGGACTTCCTCTTCGTCGATATTGGTTCACTCAGTTTCAAAACCACGAGCCATTAGCTGGTGGACAGGATCGGTCAGAGGTTTCTGATGAAGAGCGGATACTAAATCAAGCCCTCCTACTAGCATCAAACTGTTGATGCTTGATTTTGACACCAACTATTCGCACATGTGAAGTGCTGAGCGGACTTAGAAATCATAGGTGATATGGAGGTGCAAAAAGGAGATATGGAGCAGGTAGCAATTTTTAAAGTGGTTCGGATGCTCTAAAGCAAATCCTACATCCACTGTGGTTATATTAATGGTTGATTACAATCAGGTCGCACTCGGCAAGCTGAATTACAATAGAGAAGATAAATAAGTGTAGAGAGGGAGGAAGAGAGAGTATATGTTTTAAGTGGTGGATGAGCCAATCCTGTCAAATAGAGGAGAGCCCTCTATTTATAGTTGGAGGATTCAAGCTGGTAATCATGATTCTGCATGCGGGCAGGTGTGGTACAATTCCTAACCCGCTTCCCATTGGTTGTCTACACAAGAGATATCCTTAAATCACGTATGGCTTCAGCAGGTGGACAATTCTCAGCCACTCATAGGCCTAGCGTTCACTTGCCTTACTGACAATGGCCTTACCCCTCTCGTCCTTGCGGGACGTGGCTGCATCCAGACGGCAGAAAACCTCCCTGAATTCTGATTGGTTTTTGCTGATGTATGCTTACGTTAGCCCTGGTTTTTGGGCATAACAATCCAATTTAATACAACTTGAGAGTCATTTTCTTTCTTTGGAGAAGAAAAGAAACCAAAAGTTGATGAGAAAAAAAGGTTGGTAATTGATTGGCTTAAGGGAAAAACACAGTAAAGATCAAAAGCAAAATTTGATTATTATAACAACTTTGATTTATTGGCTTGTTTTGTCCATCTTTTCTTTCTATGATCAACAAATACACCTTCTTGAGAGGTTTGAGCAAAAACAGAGGAAGCAAAGAAAAAGGAAAGAAGAAGACGATTCTGGAAATTATTGTTATTGAGCTTTTTTGCTTGAGAGAGAAAAGTACACAGTAGAAACACTTTTATAGTGCTTTAATAACCAGAGTTGTAGCTAACTAACTACTAATCTTAACTATAGTGATAAACTAACTCAAGCACTAACGGCTTAGTTAGTTGAACAACTTTTATTCAACACTTTCCCTCAAACGAGAATGCATTACTTGCTGAAGTTGGTTTTCTGTCTTTTACCAACATTGACATCATTGCTTAGCAAAAAAGGCAGAAAACTAACCAATATTAAAGACAACAATTAATGAAAGTCATGACACGGGCCACATGAAAAGTTATAGTGTCTAATGAGATGTCTTCACACTTGAAGGTATGAGACTAATTCGTGATCGTGGCTTTGGTAAATACCTTTGGACACAAGCTACTTCCAATGAGATTTAAACCCTTAACATTGTAGGTAAAGTTCACCTATTAGAAGTCCAGTTACTAGTTGAACTACAGCTGATCATGATTATTTTGCTTAGTCAATTTAGTTAATACTTAATATGTTGGATAATTTTGTATACATATAGGGTGCAACTTAGAATTAGGTCAAGAATGTGAATGATAGTTAATCCTCTATTCCATCCATTTGGTATGATTCACTCATAATTATTTATTTCTCGAGTAATATAAAGAATGTGAATGATAGTTAAGAAAAAAGAATATATTAAGAAAAAGGTAGATTTAATTATATTATTTGTTATAAAATACTTGAAATGTTAAGATCAGATGAAGAGATTACGCAAATCCAAATAGTTAAGATGCTATAGAATCATTCATATTAAAAAATACGTAGAAATTGGGAGTAACCTTAAAAGAACAAGGGTTATTCACTCACTATTGCTATAAAACAAGCTCATATTTTATCTTCATTATTTTTTCTTAATAATAAGAAACAATTTGAAAGAAGTGAGTCGACTACTAGAACTATTACTCCTAGAACCAGAAAAAATATAGACTTGCTCTTCAATGGAATCAAAATTCCAACCCAAACTCAAAGATCTCATCAATAAATCCTGGAATCTATCTCCCCTTGTGACCGGATGGCAAGCTTTGTAGTCAATGGGATTAGGTATATCCATAGGGTCTTGTCTTCGAGTCGCAAGAAAATCTTGGAATCTGTAATGTTGAAATAAAAAAGAAAAACAGAATTGGAGGATAAGAATTATTATTATTATTATTATTTTGTTTTTTATATTGAGGATTCATTCACATTATCAGCTGCATAAAAGTTTTGCAACAAATTCCTCAATATTCTTATCAGAACATCCGCCTTCATCTATAGCCTCTTTTGCCAATACCTTCCACTTCTCCGAATTCCTGCTAATCTCCTTCCCTCTTTCTCCTTCCATGACTTCCCTCATACAAACCTCAATCTCCTCTCTTGTCACAATTCCTTTCTCATTAACTCTCACCCTAACCCCAACCCGCCACACATCTTCAACAAACTTAGCATTAGTTGATTGATCTGTCCATTGGAGCATCGCCACCATCGCCACCCCCAAGCTCAGTGCCTCGAGCGTCGAGTTCCACCCGCAATGTGTCACGAAACACCCTACTGACTTGTGAGCTAGAACTTCAAGTTGAGGACACCAGCTCACAACCAAACCCATCTCAGATGTTTCCTCAGAGAAATTTCTCGGAAGCTTTCCAGATTCGGATTCCCGCACCGCCCACAAGAAATAACAATTACTCATCTTGAGCCCCCAGGCCACTTCCTCCAGTTGCTCTTTTTCTATTGCAGAAAAGCTCCCAAATGATACATAGACTACAGAGCCAATTTCCTTAGAGTCTAACCATTTCAAGCAAGAATCAGTGGTTGGTTTGAAGAGGCTGAGGCCATAATTTTTGTCATTCTCCAACCTCTTGTCTATGTACGTTGATGGAATGCTCGGTCCAATATTCTTCACTGGGTATTTACTTGCCATCCACTTCACTATCTGATACAAGTTAGCAAATTAACATCTTTAAAATAGCTATGATATAACATATATTAAAGAAAATGCTATGTTAAAATTAAATTAAATTACCTCATCTTCCAATTCATCAAAGGTGTTACAGAAGAGCCAGTTTAGTTTTTCTACATTTGAAAATTGATTAACGAGCATGTTTAGCGAAGTTGGGTAAGCGTCAGCTGCATCAAAAAAAGATGGTAGATCATTGAGCTTTAGTGGTGGCATAGAAGGCAATGACACAATAGGCTCCTCTAAAGGAATTTTGAATTTCCCTTGAAGAAAATGATAGTAAATGGAATTAGCAGCCCAAGGTTGAGTGAAAAATGGAGCTCCGTCCATGCCGAATCCCCTGGCTATGTCTAAAATCCATGGTATAATCGAGTCATAAATGATAAATTTAGGTGGATACTCAGAACTAAGCTGTTTCTTGATGAACTCGGATAAGCTTTGCGAAACGAAAATCTTGGAGGCTTCAAAGAAATCAAGATTTGCTGTTCGACTTTGGCCTTCATCGGGCTCATCATCAGAAATGATCTCAATGTTAATGGAAGTGGCTTGTGTTTGAATAAACTTGGAACTAACTGTAGATGAGCTGGTGGAAACTAGGGTTACCTTGAGGCCTTTAGAGGCCAAACGCTTGGAGAATTGAAGTATTGGGTTTATGTGACCTTGTGCAGGGAAACAAAAACATAAGATGTACGTTTCTCTTTGTGTTCCTTGCTCCATGCTCTTGGGCTCCATTTTCCTCTAATATTAATTCTTAATATTCAGCAATACATATATATTTGTGAAGCACATATACTTAACAATAACATACAAACAAAGGCTTGATCAGGTCATATACATCTATTGCCGACTCACAATATATAATTCCAAATTTGCCGACTTTCATAAGTTGATTCAAAAGAAAAACAAAATTTATTTTCGTGATCATCATTAGCTCTTTCAGAAGAACCAAAACGACAAGCATAAAAGACTAGAAAAGGTTTGTTTATCTATATTCTATCGATTTGACTGTGTGTTTTTGATAATTAAGATGGTACTAAAATTAGTATTTGACTAAACTTAACTTAATAATACCTCATTATATCATAACCTCTCGTTCTTTATTTCCTAGGCAATCCAAAACAAAAATGCACATAATTTATTAACATTCTACATCAATGAAAAATATGCATTAACATCAGCTGGATACAAGTTTTGCAACAAATTCCTCTATGTTCTTGTCAGAACTTCCACCTTCATCTACTGCCTCTTTAGCCAATTCCTTCCACTTCTCCGAATTCCTTCTGAAATCCTTTGATCTCTCTCCTTCCATGACTTCATTTATACAAAGCTCAATCTCCTCTCTTGTCACCATTTTTTCTTCATTGATTCTTACCCTAACCCCAACCTGCCACACATCTTCAACATACTTAGCATTAGTTGTTTGATCAAACAACTGGGGCATTGCCACCATTGGTACTCCGAAGCTCAGAGCCTCGTGCGTCGAGTTCCACCCACAATGTGTCATGAAACACCCAATCGACTTGTGAGCCAGAACTTCAGGTTGAGAACACCAGCTCACTACCAAACCCTTCTCAGATGTTTCCTCAAGGAAATTACTTGGAAGCTTTTCAGATTCGGATTCCCTCACTACCCACAAGAAGAAGCTATTGCTTCTCTCCAGGCCCCATGCTACTTCCTCCATCTGCTCTTTTTCAAGGGCAGCAATGCTTCCGAATGACACATAGACTACAGAGTCAATTTCTTTAGAGTCCAGCCATGTCATGCAAGTATCGATGTTTGGCTTGAAGAGGCTGAGGCCATAAGCTTTGTCACTTTCCAACCGTTTGTCGAAGTACATTGATGGAACGCTTGGTCCAATATTCTTGACTGGGTATTTACTCGCCATCCACTTCACTATCTGATAGAAGTTAGCAAAACATCCTTAAAACAGCTAGCACCTAATAGAAATGTACAAAGTTTATATAAATTCACTTTAATATCCCCTACTCACCTCCTTTAGCAGGGTTTCGAGAATTATGATCATTATGTAATTTGTCCGACCAACCTCATTTAGTGGGACTTGGATGGTTTTACCCACATTAAATAGTGAGGTGCGCGTCCTCCCTACTAATTAGGAGTACCAATATTAAGCTAGTCTTGAGTCATTTGGAAAGATGATATCCAAATTTGAGTCAGAGAGATAGGCTTTAAACCCTACTTTTAGAGATAGGTAAGAGATAAATCCGAGTCCCACTAATTGAAATGGATAAAACAGTACATGATGATTGTAACTTCCAAAACCCCGTTAAAAGAGGTGGATAAGAGATATTACATTTACAATTAAAAAATATATAGTTTGAATTTTAAATCTACACTTCTCACTTGTAGCCACGATTCATTATATAAGAAAAAAATTAGAATACCACTATGGTACTAGACTTTCTATTTATATATATGTAAAATTTAACTTACCTCATCTTCCAGCTTATCAAAACTATTACAGAGGAGCCGATTCGGTTGCTCTATATTTGAAAATTGATTAACCAGCAAGTCTAGCGATAATGGGTAAGTGCCATTTACATCAAAATATGATGGTAGATCATTGACCCTTAGTGGTGGCATAGAAGGCAATGTCACAATAGGCTCTTCTAAAGGAACTTTGAATCTCCCTTGAAGAAAATGATAATTAATTGAATTAGCAGCCCAAGGTTGAGTGAAAAATGGAGCGCCATCCATCCCAAAACTCTTGGCTACATCGAAAACCCACGGTATAATTGAGTCATAAACGAGAAACTTCGGTGGACACTCAGAATTAAGTTGTTTCTCGATGAATTCAGACAGGCTTTGTGAAACACAAACCTTGTAACGTTCAAAGTAATCTTCAGGACTTGTTGCCTTACTTTTCTCTTCTTCGGTGCCATCAGAAATGAACTCAACTTTAATGGAACTGGCTTGAGTTTGGATGAACTTGCTAGTAGTTGAAGTTGTGCAGGTGGAAATTAGTGTTACCTTGACTCCTTTAGAGGCCAACCGCTTGCAGAATTGAAGTATTGGGCTTAAGTGACCTTGTGCAGGGAAACCAAAACACAAGATGTGAGCTTCTCTTTGTATTCTTTTCTCTATGGTCTTGGCCATGGACTCCATTTTCTCTCTCTCTCTCTCTCTCTCTCTCTCTCTCTCTCTCTCTCAATTTACAACTCTCACATGATCACATCCTTTTGCAGGCAAGTACATGGAGAAGATTAATGAAGATTTAAGATATATATGAGGGAGGAAGGGGGGAGAAAAGACGAGAAGAAAGAACCAAAATCTTCTATTAATAATTTGATTTATATTAAATACAATGATTTGATGGATTGCTGATGGATACAAATAAAAGAACAGTAAAGATGTTGAACACGTATGAATAAAAACAAATGATAAACGATATAAGATCTTTGAAAGTTCAGAGGATGAATCAAATTCCAAAAGTAAAGAGATCATTTATCTGTTTCTGTTATTGTTTATTATATAGAAAAGAACTATACATGGACCGACAGGATTTATAATTCAGTTCAATTAATTATGTTTAATAATTTGCAAAAGAGTAAACGACTTTTTCCCACCCAAGGTTTGCCTTAATGACCCTTTCCCACCCAAAAAATTTCAAAATACCACTTTCTTACCCAAAGTTAATATTCTGTTACTATCCAAAGCCGATTCCGACTGCAAAAATTTTCTCCGTCACCACCATCTGAATCTCCGGTCTCCTCTTTACAAAACCCCTCTCACTTCGACACTTGGTTTATCGTCGATTACTGACCATTACAAAATTAAGGTTTCTTGTTCTTAGCTCATTTCCGACAGTTAATATTCAATCGATAACCACTATTTGATCAACCGGCCCCCACTCTACAAAAACCCTTTTACCCTGGCTCCTGGTAACACGCCAAACGTCAGCTAAGAAAGTGAAGTGCATTTTGAGTATTAACGAAATATAAATATTGGGTGGGAAAGTGGTATTGCGTAACTTTTTGGGTGCGAAATGTCATTAAGACAAACCTTGGGTGGAAAAAAGTCGTTTACTCTATTGCAAAATTTGGAGAACTTAATTAGTTGGAAGATGTTCCACGTTTGAGTGATGTTGATTTGCAGTTTTTAGAAACTACAAGGCAAGTCAAACAAAGCCATTGTACCAACTAACTTCTCGCTAATAACTCTTTATTTAAAGAAGAAATGACAAATTAATTAAGCAAAACACAAGAAAAAGTTAGCTGTCTTTAGGAGTACATAGAGAAAATAAAATATAAATATAATGATATTGATGAGGTAGTAATAGCAACAAACCGTTATGTTTCGAGGGCATACCCCAGCAAAGAGCAAGTGTCCTTTTGTAAGAAACAAACTTCTTGGACTTCATTGTTTATATCAACAAATGAACAATATAGCAAACAAGATTTAACCATACGTAAAACACGTATTTAATTAATTTAAATCTTAAATAATTTATCTCCTCAGATAGAATCTAGAATATAAACTCTTTGCTCTATGATCTCCATCAACACAAACAAAGTTGAGCAAATACTCAAAAAGTTAGCAACAAATTCTTTTGAGATGAATTTGATCTATAAAATTATAAGCCCATACTCTATGCTTCAATATATAATTGTAACGAGATAGGATAATACTTTGTAAATAAGTGTGTTAAGTGTCACAGGTTGGGAGTTTCACACCCAAAAGATTAACCCATTAGGTGGATGGACTCTCCCCCTTATAAGCCTAAGACCTCCCCAGTGCGCTTCTAATGTGGGATCTGAGACATTCGCACCTAACTTGGTCTTGATCGTTAATAGCGAACTGCAATTTGGTATTACAAATGTTTAATCTTTTAAGTGTTCTTAGAGAATGTCAAGCTAGTCTCTTTCTAGTAGTATGTCTTTGCTATTTTCTTTGTTGAATGTATAAGTGTCTGATCCCATTTTTGTGAGAGGGAGCTACCTATTTATACCCGTTTTGATCAAGGTAATAATTACACTTTTGTAAGTGGCTTGATGCCGTAAAGATCTCTCCTACCTTCCCATTCGTTGGGAACTCAAAGAATATCCTTAAATTAAATGGGGCTTGGATAAGTGCGTGAACCAAATTCATTCAGGGACAAATTTTTGAGTCGGTTGGGTTGTTGACATCTATACTCCTTTTGCCTTTGGAGATGTGGCATGTTACGGTGGAATGCTTTCTTGAATTCTGATTGGTGTTTAGTGACATCAACATAGGTCAACCCTTAATTTACGCATAAGAATAAATATATAAATCACTTCTGAAAATTTACAAATATTAGCCATATCTAAACTTTAGATCTTCATGTTGAAAAATATTGCCAAAACACACAAAATAATTGAAGCAAAAAAGTAAAGAAGATAATCCATTTATCTTGGTTCATTCCCAATATAGAAACTACATCCAGCAGTCGAGACAGAGAAATTTTTATTAAGTTTAAAAAGTCTGCAGGAATACAATAGTAATGATGGTAGTTCACTCTTCCTCTCCTCTCTTTGTATATTTTTCTCTTTGTATATTATAATATGTATATATGATAGTAAACATAATCACATTTGGGCTAAACTTATAAAGCCCAAATATTTGTAAAACACTTCCAAACCCAATTACTGATTGGGCTTACAGTGAAAGGGCGCTACCTCCTCAGGCCCACCTGTGTTGAATGCGTCAACGTACGTACGCTAATAATTCAGAAACCTATGCAAACTATGAACCACATCCAACACTTTAGCTGGGAACGACTATACATGTGCAAAATGGAATTTACCTCGTCTTCCAGCTTATCAAAAGTGTTACAGAAGAGCCATTTTGGTTGTTCTACGTTTGAAAATTGACTAACGAGCAAGTATAGCGAAGATGGGTAAGAACCAGTTCTGTGAGAATCTTAGGACCTAATGAGAAGAAAAACCAGAAATCTATATATTTTCCAGAGAAACAAATAGAAAATCTTGAGAGAAGAACGAATTTTCCAGAACTGAACTTTGTTTTATTTAGCTTATTTTACAAAGAATTTTTAACTGCTTTTATCCTAAAAATAAGTCCACGTTGTCAATCCATGTCACGCTTGCAGACTTAGCAAATAAACACCATTGATTTAAAAGAAGCACAAAGTGACTGCCTTTTAACCGCTGATCACATCTCCAATCTTGCTGAGTTGCAGTTGAAATAAGCCCATAAAACCAAACCACCACTGGCCCGATGGTCAACTAAAACCATTGGATGTATTATTCAAAAAGTCTCGAGTTCGATCCATTTGGTTGGTCAACTAAAACCCTTGGATGTATTATTCAAAAATTTCCGAGTTCGATCCATTTGGTTTATTAATAAACTGGCTCTTGAGGAGATTTATCCGACTGTCAATTTCAAAACCTCAGAGAGATTAGTTGAGGCGCATAAGCTGGTAAGACACCCCGTTCAAACAAAAAACTGTAGCTTTAATCTGAAACTGTTGAGATTATGAGCTTCATCTGCAGTCTAATTACTAAACTGCTCCCTTTCACTAAAGAGGATTTAACGCCACTTAACAGAAACTTGTTAATCAAATTGAGCACTAAATTTTTAAAAACAAAACTTAGAATATCAACTAACGCCTCTTTAACATATACTGTTGCAGCTGCCGTTAATAGAACCGTTGAGCAGTGAATTTTTGAATATGAATCTGGAAATTTGAGTATGAATGGGAAAGAACAGAGCTCTCTGTCTCCTCTCTGTTTTATCTGCTGATTCCGTAGCATCAAGAATTTGCTGCTGCAGCTTGTACACCAGAATACACAAATCATTTCATAACAAGTTCCATCAAAAATGATGGTAAATCACTGATCCTCAGCGGCGGCGTGTAAGGCAATGACACAATAGGCTCTTCCAAAGGAACTCTGAATTTCCCTTGACGAAAATGATAGTAAATCGAATTAACAACCCAACGTTGAGTGAAAAATGGAGCCCCATCGATGCCGAATCTCCTGGTTATGTCTAAAATCCACAGTATAATCAAATCATAAACAATAAATTTTGGTGCTCAGAACGAATATCCTGTAACGTTCAAAGTAATCAAGACTTGCTGTTCGACTTTTATCTTTTGCTGAGGGAAGAGAATTCAGCAAAAGAATTAATTACAAATTCTTTTAAGATCATGAATTATGAAGTAGAATGATCACCAGCAGCTGCACATGCAAGTTTTGCAACAAATTCTTAAATATTCCTATCAGAGCTTCCACCTTCATCTACTGCCTCTTTTGCCAATTCCTTCCACTTCCCCGAATTCCTTCTCATCTCCTTTGATTTCTCTCCTTCCATAACTTCCTTTATACAAACCTCAGTCTCCTCTCTTGTCACAATTCCTTGTTCATTGACTCTTATTCTAACCCCAACCTGCCACACATCTTCAACAAACTTAGCATTAGTTGTTTGATCTGTCCAAATTGGCATCGCCACCATCGGCACTCCCAAGCTCAGAGCCTCAAGCGTCGAGTTCCACCCGCAATGTGTCATGAAACACCCCACTGACTTGTGAGCCAGAACTTCAGGTTGAGGACTCCAACTCACAACCAGACCTTTCTCAATTGTTTCCTTAGAGAATTTTTTCGGAAGCTTTTCGAATTCGGATTCCTTCACTACCCACAAGAAGTTGCAATTACTCCTCTTAAGCCCCCATGCGACTTCCTCCATTTGCTCTTTTTCCAGGGAACCCAAGCTTCCAAATGATACATAGACTACAGAGCCAGTTTCCTTGGGGTCTAGCCATGTCATGCAAGTATCAGTGCTTGGTTTGAAGAGGCTGAGGCCATAATCTGTCATTCTCTAACTTTTCGTATAAGTACATTGATGGAATTGTTGGCCCAACATTCTTCACTGGGAATTTACTTGCCATCCATTTCACTACCTGATAGAATTAAATTAGCAAAACATCTTTAAAACAGCTAGCATAAAGGAATTTTATAGCATAAATTACTTTGGAAACTCTACAAATATGAGCAATAAACAAAAATTAATGCTAAATTCATATGAATTTGATAATACAGCTGACAATGATTATATAAATCTGTGTAAAATTAAATTCACCTCATCTTCAAGCTTATCAAAAGTGTTACAGAAGAGCCACTTGGATTCTTCAATATTAGAAAATTGGCTGACAACCAACTTTAACAAAGAAGGGTAAGAGTCGGTTCCATCGAGGAATGATGGTAGATCATTGATCTTTAGGTGCGGTATCAAAGGCATTGATCTACTTTTGCCATCGATTCCATCGGAAATGATCTCGATGTCAATGGAAGTGGCTTTTGTCTGGATGAAATTGCTAGTAGTTGTGGATGAAGTGGTGGGGAGTAGGGTCAGCTTGAGGCCTTTAAGGCCAATGCTTTGCAGAATTGAAGAATCTCTGTGTAGGAAGTACTAAAGGTGAGATTGAAAATTCAGTTGAAGAAAGGAGCTCGGAAGATTGACTTAGTAGCTGCTATTGATACGTATTTTTTTGATAAAAAGGCTGCTTTGAAGCAGCCTGTTAAAAATCTGGGTGCAATATTTTGACCTGTTTTGTGTTGTTAACTAACGAATCAATGAGATGCATATGGGTGCAATTTGTTTTCAGAAATTTGAGGTGGGTGAATTGATATAAATTTGATGCGAAGTATCAAGGGTGAAAATGGAATTAGCTAAAAGGTCAAAAAGGTAAAAGATAAAAAAGGACTTAATTTAAATAAGTGTTTGAGAGAAGGAAGACATTGATGATGTCATTGATAATCATCAGACTTTAGGGAACTCAATATGGAGAGAAATTAGAATGATCTGTCAATAGTATGTAGGGGTGGGTAGGTTCGAGTACCCACCCAAATTCAAAGGAATCGGAACTGGCCAGATTAGAATGATTGGTCGATAGTAGGGGTGGGCAAGTCCGAGTACTCGCCCAAATTCAAAGGAACTAGAATCAACCGGTTTCGGTTCCTAGTAACCAAGAACGAGAACCTGGAACATGGGTTCCGGTTCCGAGTACCTACGTTAATTTCAATTACCCTTCTATTTTTTTAAAATGACAAATAAATCCTTAAAAACTATAATATACCCCTAATAATTTACAAAAATTATAATCCAATCTCGATTCTTACCCAAGTATCTGGATCTCGATTTCAATTCCAATTCCTAGTTCTTGCAAGGGTGAAACCAAAATCGAAACCAGCCTGTTCCTTATTTCTAGGATCGGAACCTACCTTGTAAGGGCCAATTCCAGGTAGGAACCCTGGGTACCTGCCGGTTCCTGTTTTGGCTGGTTATTTTGTACACCCCTAGTCAGTAGGGTTCTTTTCATAGTGTTTTTAATCTAAGTGGATGGTTTAGGATAAAAAGAATTAGAGGGTGAGGTTAAATTGGAAAGAAAATCAGAAGAATGAGGACTTAACATTGTATAGAGTTGATGCTTATAAATGTTTTAGCTCGTGCGGTTTGGCTTACGTGTGTGATGGGGCGACAGATAAAATATGACATGCATGTCACGATGCTGTAGCACATTTAATGCTTGTTGGACTTGCAAGCCTGATTTGCAAAATTGGAGAAATAGGAAATAATAGAGAAAGAAGGAAAGAAAAAGGAGGATTATTTACATTTTTATCCTTAACGTGTGAAGCATATTTATATATCTCCAATAATATAGGATACGAACAGATTAGTCCAACCAAGTGAGACTTTTTATAAAAAGTCTATAATTAGGTTGTCTTATACACATGTTATTAGAAATAAATAAATGATAAAAAAAAAGTAAAAAATATATTGTACACTGTTATGTCTAAAAAGTCACCTTTATGTCAGTTTAATAAATGTCTTTTTGTACTAACTGTCAAGCTCATATCTCCTCAAAGATATTCATACTAACCCTATCTCATTTCAAGAGATGAATGGACAATAGTCTTCCATGTGTTAAGGCAACTTGCAAAACACTCATTACATTGAGTTCAAAAGTGTATAAATTGACACTTCTCTTTCCGAAAAAGGGAGGCTGGGCATATGCGAGGCAGACATAGATAAAAGCTCAATTTTCTCTCGCTATAAACACTGTATTTCTTCATCTTTGTATGTCTTACGGGCAATATCATAGAAATAGTCAGAGATCAATAAAATAACAGTAGATGTAGGAGTCGTTTGTTTGAGCATCCGAACCACTATAAAAACCTCTCTTGTTAGCCTATTATTTATGTTTTCTGCAACATATATAATCTCAAATCCATATTCAAATCTCATGGATCCATCACGTGTAATTTCTAAGACTTTCTTAATACTTTGTATGTGCGAATCGTTGGCTTCTAAAATCAAGCGTCAACATACACCAAAAACAAATCCATTTTTCATAAGAGTAATGGTTAATATCTGAATATAATATGAACTATTTTTAGCATTTTTTTTTTTTAAATATTTTCTTCGTATCTAATAACATGTGAATAAGACACTGAGGGTAATATAGACTTTTACTGAAAAGTCTTGTCTAATTGAACTAAACTGTTCCTATCTCATACTCATTGTGCTAGAGGTATGTTATATTCTCCAAACCTTAAGATGAAAGTGTAAATAACCCCAAAAAGGGAGGATTTGGGTCAAGAGTAAAAAGAGAATGCGAGAGTAATTTTCCATGCTTTTGATTTACGGTAACGGTTAAGATTAATGTTTTATTTATTTCTTTTCTTTGTATTGTTTTGGCTCTAAATATATTTTGTAATCTTTCGATTAAATAGAAGAACAAGTGGAAAGAGTGTTTGAGGATCCCGGTATCACTTTGGGTTAAATTATTTGTTGAACTTAATTATAAGCCGTTTGATATAATTGTTGGTTATTAAAGTTTTTTTTATCTGTTTTTTGATGCAGTATTTTGGGATACACACTGCTTCTAAGTTTGATTGAATACAAAACTATTGTGATGGGAGGAGATGTGGATAGAGCTAACGAAAATTGATCTTCAACAATGTAAAATGACAACAAAACAACTAAGAAAAAATTCTTAAGTGACTGGGATTTTCGTTTTGATAGGCTCCAGTATGCAATGTCAATCTTGGCGTCGTAGTTTTATTTGGGGCTGCTACCTCCATCGGAGGTGAAACGACTCTGCCTGCGTCGGGGTCCTTTAATATAGAACGATGCGGTGGTTGGCGTCAAAAAATTAGAAATGCGACAAGCCTCAAGCGACAAAACGGGTGGCTCGATTTCTGGTGTCGTTTTACAGCTGCAACCACGCAAATTTACTCTGAACTGGCGCATTCTCTGCATCGGACTAGAGCAATAATCTGGTGGTGTTATGTGTAACCTTGGGGAAGTTAGAAGTGAACGATGCATGCATTTGACTGTTTTAGCAAACTTATATGTTTGTAGATGGGAAATTAGATGTTTGATTAAATTATGCTCCATTGATAGTTGAATCCTAGTTTATTTCATGGTTATGTTTAGTCTAATTAAAATATATTGTTTAAAGCCCAAGTATTTTTAAGAATTAGTGACAAATTATATTTCAAAATATCTTAAACAAGAGTATTTTCGGTAAATTTTAGTTTATTGTGATTCAATACTTGACTTGATCCACATCCTCCAATAAGTAATCAAGTACTTAATTATAATGCTGTAGAATCAGCTGCATACAAGTTTTACAACAAATTCCTCAATGTTCTTGTCAGAACTTCCACCTTCATCAACTGCCTCTTTAGCCAATTCTTTCCACTTCTCCGAATTCCTTCTTATATTCTTTGATCTCTGTCCTTCCATGACTTCCCTTATACACAGCTCAACCTCCTCTCTTGTCACAATTCCTTTCTCATTAACTCTTACCCTGACCCCCACCTGCCACACATCTTCAATAAACTTAGCATTAGTAGTTTGATCCGACCATCGAGGCATCGCCACCATCGGCACTCCCAAGCTCAAGGCCTCAAGCGTTGAGTTCCACCCACAATGTGTCATGAAACACCCCACTGACCTGTGAGCTAGAACTTCAAGTTGAGGACTCCAACTCACAACCAAACCCTTCTCAAATGTTTCCTCAGAGAAATTTTTCGGGAGCTTTTCAGATTCGGTTTCCCTCACTACCCACAGGAAGAAGCTGTTGCTTCTCTTCAGGCCCCATGCTACTTCCTCCATCTGCTCTTTGTCCAGGGCGGCCAAGCTTCCAAATGATACATAGACTACAGAGCCAGTCTCCTTGGAGTCTAGCCATTTCATGCAAGTATCAGTGTTTGGATTGAAGAAGCTTATGCCATAATCTTTGTCATTCTCGAATCGCTTGTCTAAGTACATTGATGGAATGGTTGGTCCAACTGTGAAGTTTGTGTATCTACTTGCCACCCATTTCAATTGCTGCATAATAGAAATGTTTAAATTGATTACTAAGGAAAATCTCCAAATATAAGCAATAAACAAAATTACTAGGTCTAGTTTCATAAATTTATAATTAAATATACATACAACATTAAACCATATGCAAAATATGTACTTACAATCTTAAACATATGATAAATATTAATTTGAAAAAAAAAAATCATAGAGATATTAAAATATATATACCATGAACATATTAAATTAAATTTACCTCATCTTCGAGTTTATCGAAAGTGTTAGACAATATCCATTTTGATTCTTCAATATTGGTAAATTGATTGATGACCACGTCTTTAAAAAATGGGTAAGGGCCAGTTTCATCAAGAAATGATGGTAGATCATTGACCCTTAACGGTGGCATCGAAGGCAATGATACCGTAGGCTCCTCTAAAGGAACCTTGAATGTACCTTTAAAAAAATGATAATAAATGACATTAACACACCAAGGTTGGGTGAAAAATGGAACTCCATCCACACCAAATCTTCTTGCAACGTCAAAAGCCCACGGTAGAATCGAGTCATAGATGAGAAATTTAGGTGGATACTCAGAACTAAGTTGTTTTTCGATAAACTCCGCTAGAGTTTGGGAAACGGAGATCTTGTAACGATCAAAGAAGGTATCGATATTCCTCGTTTCGCTGTCTTCGAACCCATCGGGAATGAGCTCGACATTGATGGAACTGTCTTGGGTTCGGATGAGCTTGGTGGAGGATAATATGGTGGAGATTAGGGTCACCTTAAGACCCTTTGCAGCCAACCGTTTGCATAATTGAATGAAAGGGTTGAGGTGACCTTGTGCAGGATAAGTGAAACATAAGATATGAGTTTCACCGCATGGTCTTTGCTCTATTTTCTCCATTAATGTAATCAATCTTTCTCTACCTTCAGAGTTACCAAAAAACCCAAGCACATAATTAAGGAGCTAGTATATAATATAATTATAACGACACTGCCCCAACTTTTAATTAAAAACAAAAAAAAAACAAAAACAAAATCAAAATCAAAACAAAACAAATAGACGGTTGGTTGTCTTGGCGACGACTGAATAATAATAATAAAAACAAATAGTCCTGTAAGAGACAAACTTCTTGACCTCATTGCTTATGTAAACAAATGGATAAAAAAATATTTTGTCAAACTTCTTGACCTCATTGCTTATGTAAACAAATGGATAAAAAAATATTTTGTTAAACTTACGAGTTTACTATGGTAACACTAGTTTTGATGTAGAGATTTCGTTTTGTAATTGCACAATCATTTCAGCCTTTATTCCAGTGTCATGGCCCTTTATGTCGATGTCACCACACTCAGTTAAGTTTGTTTTCATGCATGTCGTGTGGGTACATCAGAGTCCACGTGATGATACTCGTCCAACGATTCCAAGAACACTTGTTACATTTCTATTTGATGCTAAAATATTATCCTTATCTAAGATATATATAAGTAGTCCATGTGTATTTGTCATTAACCCATATGGTGTATTTGTTTTGCTTTGTCAGTGGTCCCAAGAAAGTTTGGTGAAAACTTTTCCAAAATGACAAAACACAAAAGTAACATGTTGGCTGGTTGTCCCTTGTATTAGTGTGCAAGTTTCTTTACTCTCTATTCTCCAATGCGTTTGATTTTAAACTTGAATATATCTCTAATAATTCTCTGAATATCCCTTGAGGTTTTTGCTACTTTCATTTGGGTTTCATTATGCTTTGGTAAGCTTAAAATACCTTGTTTAACTCTTGCTTGCTTAAGCTTTGTCTAATATGTGGTTCTGTTGTTGTATGCTTGGAGTGTTTCAAGCTACTAGAGCTGAAATGCGTCTTCAGTGTTGAACCTTGAGAAAAGCTCAAGGCTAACTATGTGGTCTCATGATGCCAAGCTAGCTGTGGCAGCTGGATGAAGATTGAAATGTTATCATAATAGGGAGTGTTTCGCAACTATTGATTATCTTTAGTTTTATATTTAAACACTAAACGTCTATCATAATGAATTAACTTCATCTGGACTTAATTCCATTGATGTAAAAATGTGGTGTGTGCTTTACGTTTTGTCATGGATGTTTTGTTTATGTTAATGATGATTAAACCAACCCATAAAGCAAAAATAAACAAATTAGCTCATTCTGCAAAAGTTTAATCAACTTAGTAAAGTGATAAAACTCTCAAGATTTCTCACCTAAAAGATGAATATTTCTGGGACGTATGAGAGCAAGAATTATTTAAATTTTTAGATAAACAAAAATCAACTGGATAAAAGTTGCGTGACAAACTCCTCTAAGTTCTCATCAGAGCTCCCACCATCATTTACTGCCTCTTTAGCCAATTCTTTCCACTTCTCCGAATTCCTTCTTATGTTCTTTGATCTCTCTCCTTCCATGACTTCCTTTATGCAAATCTCAATCTCCTCTCTCGCCACAATCCCTTTTTCATTAACTCTTACTCTAACCCCAACCTGCCACACATCTTCAACATACTTAGCATTAGTTGTTTGATCTGTCCATTGAGGCATTGCCACCATTGGCACCCCCAAACTCAATGCCTCGAGCGTTGAGTTCCATCCGCAATGTGTCATGAAACACCCCACTGATTTATGAGCTAGAACTTCAAGTTGAGGACTCCAACTCACAACCAAACCTTTCTTGGATGTTTCCTCATAGAAATTTTTGGGAAGCTTTTCGGTTTCAGATTCCCTTACTACCCACAAGAAGAAGTTGTTGCTTCTCTTCAGGCCATATGCGAGTTCCTCCATTTGCTCTTCTCCTAAGGCTGACAAACTTCCGAATGATACATAAATAACTGAATTGATTTCCTTTGAATCTAGCCATGTCTTGCAAGTTTCACTCTTTGGTTTGAAGAGGCTGAGGCCATAATCATTGTCATTTGGCAACCTCTTGTCTAAGTAAATTGATGGAATTACTGGTCCAATTGTCTTAATTGGAAATCGAGTAGCCATCCAGTTCAGTATCTGAAATAATAACATTTAATTACAAAATTAGGATCTTAACTTTGTATATATATCACATAATAATATCATTAGAAAACGATAATATCAACACCTTAATGCCACTCCGACGCCAAAAAAAAACAACTTCAACACATTGCCATTGCATCGACGGTAGTAAATTTCCATACCCCAACGTAATTGCGTCGGGTATTTATTATTAAACAAAGAGCAAACGACATGTTCCCACCCAAAGATTAGCGTTATGGAAAGTGTTTACTCTTGGTTTCATTTATTCCAGATTCACACCTTAAGAGATTTTTTAAACATACGTTTAAAGGTTAAAATAATCATTTCAAAACCCCCATGATTTCCAACCCTTACCCTGCCGGCGCCGCGCCGACCGTTCACCATTGGAACCTCTATCCTCCCCTTCTAACCCACCCCCTCTCGCTCGTTGTTTGCCAGCCGTGACCTCCCTCTGCCGCTGCAAGTCAGTCGCGCGCGCTAGTTGGCTCTGGGCGCGCACGAAAGCATGTTGCAGGTGAGGGGAGTTCTGGTTTTCTGGTTGGAAAAACTCGAACAGGTGATGTGCCAGAGGAGGTAGTGTCACAACTTCACAGTCCTACCGTTAAGAGTAGGAACTGGAATAAATGAATCCAGGGGTGGAAACTTGCTATTTTGCTAATTTGGGTGGAAACAGTCGTTTGCTCTTAAATAAATGATACATTTGAATAATTTCAACTACCTCATCTTCCAGCTTCAGGAAAGTGTTACACAAGATCCAACTTGCTTCATGAATATTTGATAATTGATTCACGACCACATTAGTAGAGATGGATAAGCGCCAGTTTTATCACAAATAAACGATGGAAGATCGTTAATCCCAAGCGGCGGCATCGAAGGCAATGACACCAAAGATCCTCCTTCTGAAGGAACTTTCAATGTCCCTTGATGAAATGATAATAATTGCATTAACTGCCCAGGCTTGAGTGAAAAAAGGAGCTCCATCCAGGCCAAATCCTCTTACAACATCTAGCATCCATGGAATAACCGAGTCATAAACGATGAACTTAACAGGAAACCAGAAACTTCATGTTTTTTAATAAGTTTGGCTAATTTTGTGGAAACACAACCTTGAAACGTTCGATGTTTCATCGAAGTTTCTGACGTTAACTCCCGCATCAACGAAAATCCATCGGGAATAGACTCAATTTTGATGGAACTGGTTAGGCTTTCGCCTTGAATGGATATGGGGTTGATTCGGCAGTGACTAGGGTTACTTTGAGACCTTTGACCTTTTGAGGCTAAACGTTTGGATAATTGAAGCATGGGGTTTATGTGACCTTGTGCAGGGAAAGGAATTGTGAGGATGTGAGTTTCTTCACCTCTTTGGTCCTCCATTTTCTTTCAAAAACTTTCCTTTACATAACATATGCATATAGACTCAAATTTATAGAGGGAAAAGAGACTATTCTTTTGCCAAAAGTCAGCATTGGTTTCTATAGTTCATCCTGGATCTTTTAGAATCCGAAAAGGGTCTTTTGATGTGAAAAATCCACTAAAAGGTAATTTTTTTAGTCTCTTGGTGCAATTTTTTTTTTTTTTAAATTATTTCTTTTTGCGAATTTCTCAGTTCAAAAATCCCGTTTCATTTTTTAAAACATAAATAAATAAAACATGTTATTTAAAAACTTGATGGGCAAGCTACTTGATGGTCAAATTTCTTTCAACAAAATTAGTATTAAATAAGCTGCTTGTCAAAGCGAAAGTTTGAACTTTGAATATTCTTACGTGTGCCCAAAGTATTGATAAGTTATCATTATTATTGGATACACCTAAGACATCCCTAACCCATTTCATCAAATTGGTGTAAGTTTTACACTAAATTAGTATGATTTTTTCGTGTAAAATAATATTATATCTTCGATCTATTGCATTAAATATTATATCAAAAAAGATATTCTTTAAAATATTTTTTTTCTTTTTCTTTTATTGTAAAGGTTAACAATTAATCTATTCTATTTATTATTTATATATATTAATTAAATATTATAAATAATATTTTTATTAAATAATAATTATTTTGAAAACTATACTAATTTAATAAAATTAAGTATTTATTTAATTAAATAAATATTATAATTAAAATAAAAAAACATTACACATAATATAAAATGATATAAAAAAAAAATCCCGTTTCATTTTTTGAAACATGTTATTTAAAAACTTGATGGGCAAGCTACTTGATGGTCAAAGTTCTTTCAACAAAATTATTAAATAAGCTGCTTGTCAAAGCATAAGTTTGAACTTTGAATAGTAGTTGCAGATTCTTACGTGTGCCCAAAGTTTTGATAAGTTATTATTGGGTGCGTTTGGCTCCCTATTTTTATCCATATTCCCAATCCTATTCTCCAAATAATGTTTGGCACACTATTCCAGAAATATTACCCTATTTTTTTAATTACTTTTAGACCCCATAAGGTTATTAATTTCACTAAATGCCCCCTGAAATTTATTTTTTAAAAATTAACAAAAACCCCCCCATCAACCCAATTTGTCAGATTCCGGCAACCACTGCCGGTGATAGCCGGAATCTGTACAACGGCCTAAATTTCGACCATAAATGGCCGGAATTACACCGATCTGGCCTTTTCCGGCAAGATTCACCACGGATCTGGCCGGAAAAGGCCAGATCTGGTCGTCAGTGACGGCCAAAGAAATGGCCGTCGTTGACGGTCAACGACGTCCAAATCTTGGCCGTCGTTGACCAAAAACGACGGCCACATCTTTGGCCGTCGCTGACGGCCAAAGATGGCCGTCGTTTTGGCCTTTCCGGCCGCGACGGCCATAACAGGCCTTTAGATCTAGCCTTTTCCGGCCAGATCCGTGGTGGATCTGGCCGGAAAAGGCCATAATGATGCATTACGGCACAGATCTGATCGGTCTGTGCCATAACGAAATTTTCCGGCCAGATTCCGGCGGTGGCGGCCGGAATCTGACACTGCAGGTGGTGGGGGTGTTTTTGTCATTTTATATAGTAGGGTCTTTAATTAAATTAGTAAACCTATGGGCTTTTTCATAAATTTTTCAAATTTACCTCGTAATACTCCCCTATCCAACAATCCAATATTATCCTCAAAATCCTATCCAAAATACTACACCAAACGCACCCATTATTATTATTGGGTCTCTACTCTCTATTACATATTTTGTATTATATACATATAAGAGAGCATTCATGCATGTGTAACGCTGATAACAACATAGTCGAAGACCAAAATGCTATACCTAATAGTTGGGAGATGTAACATTAATAATATATCCCTTAAGTTGTTTATAATAATTAACGTATCATTTTACGTTGGTTGTCTCGTAGAAGGGCCAAATGTGAATTTTACGTACCATTTATTTGCTCAAAAAGCTAAAAGCCTAGAACATTCACAAGTTAATTAAATAGTTAGTTCAATTGAGAGAAAGACTTTATCCACCCTGAAGTT